GTTGCTTTGAAAGATGAGCTAACATCTGTACATGTATGACCTAGAATTAAGAGGATGATGGTCAGTCATGCACATGGACAGATACATGCAAGCATGTATGTGCATATATGCAAAAACACACATATACACAGTTTTGACTAAGTTCTATCACTTATATAAGCACCAGACATTTACAGAACACATTCTCAAGAGGATCAAATTTAGTGCTTTCTCTCTGCTTGCCAAGACTAAGCCATGTGATCCTTTTTCTTGTAATCTACATCCACTCACAAGAAGAATGTTGTTTTTCATGATGTCACCCAAATTATATTTGTTAAAGTGAGTGAGACTGGACGCTGAGCCTGCTTAATTGCATTATTTCAGTATATTAAGTTATCTTGGGTGCTCAAGTCTGACTACGATGAGAAGAAAATCTGTCAGTGTTTGGGTCTTATCTGCCAACACTGAGGGTGGTCTTAGAGTTTGCTGAGCAATTGGATAGATTTTTTTTTAATGTTCACATTTTTCTTATTGAGCTTTCAAGCCTATTTTTCCATCAATCTCACTCCTAGCAAAGGCTCCAAGACATATCTGGGCCTGGGTCTTTATGCAATGGGTTGATACAATGAATCCAGGGAACAGTCCCCAGCCTTCCAGGCTCCCAGCTCCTCTAGCAACTCTCTCATTTTGTTTCTCACCATTCAAAGGACAAGTGAAAATACAAATACTTTAGTGCCATACATGGACTTTACTTTTCCCTCTGTAGGTGGTTTCATGTCCCTCCCATGTAGAGGAGCAGCAGGTACAGTGGTAAGGACAATCAGTGGGACTTAGAAAGCCTGGCCTCTGTTCCAAATTCTGCCCTCATCTACGTGACCTGGGGAAAGTCTTTGCTACTCTTTGAGCTTTTAAAACTTTATTAATAAAATGACAGGGTTGAACTAGTAATCACTGAGGACCCTTTTGGTCCTAATAATCATGGTTTGCCCACACAAACATATTCATGTCAGAATGCACTCTCCCAGAACTTAGGGCTGTAAGTCTAATTAACATCATCTTCAGTACCTGAGGGTAATACAACTCCAGGGGAAACCATTTACACTGTGGGGAATATGACTCACTCACCTGAGGCCATAAAATTACCTGGCACCATGTTTAAGATAACCTGACAAAAGCTTTTTGAACATGATGCCAAACATGGTATATATCTTGAGCCATACATGCTGGTTGAAAATCTGTTTCCCTACTAACCCTTGCTACAGCAGCCCCTCCAAAATGACAGGTTTCATCTTCATTGAGAAGGCATAGATCATTAGCTATCTCTCCTGATCTCATTCCCCAAAACTTGGGGGTCCCTGGAGAGTGGCATCTCTATCCAAAAGAAGGAGAGTTTGCATTATGTAAAAGAAACAATTTGGTTCAATTTGGTTAAAGTTAGAGCGTCTGAAAGAAGCATATTGGCCTGAATAAGATCAGCAGCCCTTTTGTGCTCCCTGATTAGCATCTTGAGCAGCACAAAAGCCCTTCTTGTAGGGAAAAAGAAAGTAGCAGAAAGGTATGATTAGGGTGCTTTAAACTAATTGGAAGATTTTGCAAGTTTCCCGGGACCAAACCAAAAGTGTAACATTTATACCCAGCCAGGCTATGTATTAGAGTCATGAGATATTTCCTCAAGGGTGTCCTTAGTTGGGGGGGGGGGGGAGGTTATATTCCTCCCAGTGGAATTAGCTGAAGAAATTCTACAGAAATCTCAAATATATTATAGGAGACCAGGACCTGTGTACATCTACAACCATTCACAATAAGCTCCAGAGAACTAAAACTCCACTTCCACTACATGCTCTGTATACATGGACTCTGGCCTTGCTGACCAAATTAACTGGTCCCTCCAGCCATTTTTCATACCCTTGAACATTTTCCCTCACTGGACTCAGTTTCCCAGTATGAGTGACCTTGAATGCAATCATATATTTCAAACTGTTTTTTGAAACCCTAAGGTTCAAATGGTGTGACTTGAGCACATGGCTGAAGGGCTACCTCAGGGATGAGACAGGCAAGAAGAGGCCAATTGGGCAAAGATGCCGACTCCATAACACACTTCAATGGAGCATTTCTGCTTCTATCTGTTTTATATATTAGGCTTCCATGAAATATTCCATTTGGAAACAAAATTAGTCAAATGATAAAAATAGTTGGAAAGCCACTAGCTTGCATGGTAGCTAAATTTCCTACAAGCGCTAATGTACTTTGTGTCTGTAAGAAGAGAGTCAGAAATTGAGAACAGTTTTTTTCTTGGAAGACTGATATTCTGCTGAAAAGAAAAGGCACTGAAAACTCCATTAAGTAGCAAACAACCATCTTTCACTGGGCTATGTAAAAAGATCACTGATTGAGCTTTGCCTTCTAGTTGGAGCATGAGGTGAATAAAATCTTTTGTGCTTTAATTACTTTCCTGTAGCTGAGACTCCAACTAAAAGAAAACTGATTTAGCTTGAAAGGAGCTTACCGGGGACCCTAGGTTTCAATTGGAGCTCTGTTCAAGAAAACTAAACAGTGACAAGTGTTATCCTTATCTAAACCTTTCATAACAATTAATTAATGTATCAACATTTATCTAGTTTATGATTTTATGAAAATATTAGATATTTATTTTAAGAGGGAGAAATTATACATTTTAGTACCATCTGCAAGCATTAAATCCTCTGGAAACCAAACACCAACTACTTACCTTACTTGTAACCTGGACATCTTCTAGCACTAATTATAAAGATGACTTACGTACTTCAGTCATCTGATCACTTGAATGATTTAATTATAAAAAAGAAAGTTGTCATCAAAGGAGAATTCTTTTTGTTTTGTTTTAATTTTGATTTTGGTTTTTCATTGCAATAGTTTTGGGGAAACAGGTGGTGTTTGGTTGCATAGAAAAGTTCTTTAGTGATGATTTCTGAGATTTTGGTTCACCCATCGTCCAAGCAGGGTACATGGTACCCAATGGGTAGTCTTTTATCCCTCACTCCGCTCCCAGCCTTCTCCCTAGTCTCCAAAGTTCATTATGTCATTCTTATGCCTTTGCATTCTCATAGCTTAGCTCCACTTGTAAGTGAGAACATACGATGTTTTGTTTTTCATTTCTAAGTTACTTCGTTTAGAAAAATTGTCTCTAACTCCATACGGGGTGCTGCAAATGCCACTATTTTCTTTTTTTGGCTGAGCAGTATTCCATAGTATGTGTGTGTGTGTACATATACACATATATATACATATATATATCACATTTATATATATGTATGTGTATGTATATATATATGTGTATATATACATATATATGTATGTATATATAAAAAATGTGACATATATATGTGTATATATATATACACAATGTGTGTGTGTATATATATATACACACACACATATATATATATGTCACATTTTCTTTATCCACTCATTGGTTGATGGGCATTTAGGCTGCTTCCATACTTCTGCAATTTTGAATTGTGCTGCTATAAACATGCGTGTGCAAGTGTCTTTTTCATACAACTTTTTTTCCTTTGGGTAGGTAGCCAGCAGTGGGATTTCTGGGTCAAATGGTAGATCTACTTTTAGTTCTTTAAGGAATCTCCATATGGTTTTTCATAGTGGTTGTACTAGTTTACATTCCCTCCAGCAGTGTAAAAGTGCTCCCTTTTCATCACATCCACACCAACATCTGTTTTTGTCTTTTTTTTTTAGTTTTAAATTATAACCTTTCTTGTATTTTGGAGGTTTTGTTTCAATATTTAGAACTTTTTTAGCATTTCTTGTAGTGCTTGCTTAGTGACGGTGAATTCTCTCAATATTTGTTGTCTGAAAAAGACTTTATCTCTCCTTCATTTATGAAACTTAGTTTTGGTAGATACAAAATTCTTGGCTAACAATTATTTTGTTTGAGGAGGCTAATGACAGGATGTCAAACCCTTCTGAATTTGCAAGGTTTCTGTTGAGATATCTGCTGTGAATCTGATAGGTTTCCCTTTATAGGTTAACTGATGCTTTTGCCTTAAGTTCTTAAGATTCTTTCTTAAGATTCTTAAATTTCTTTCCTTTGTTCTTAAGATTCTTTCCTTTGTCTTGACTTTAGATAACCTGATGACTATGTGCCTAAGTGATTATCTTTTTGCAATGAATTTCCAAGATGCTCCTTAGGTTTCTTGTATTTGGATGTCTAGATCTCTTGCGAGGTCAGGGAAGTTATCCATTATTCCCTGGATGTTTTCCAAACATTTAGATTTCTCTTCTCCCTTGGGAACACCAATTATTCTTAGGTTTGGCTATTTAAGATAACCCCAAATTTCTTGTAAGCTTTGTTCATTTTTTCTTTTTTCTTGTCTTTGTCTGATTGGGTTAATTTGAAGGCCTTGTCTTCAAGCTCTCAAGTTCTTTCTTCTACTTGTTTTATCCTGTTGTTAAAACTTTCCAGAGAATGCTGGGAAGATGGCCACCTAAGAACAGCTCAAGACTTCAGCTCCCAGTGAAAGCACAGAGGGTGAGTGGACGCCGCATTTCCAGACGAATTTTTATTGCTCACAGACCAGGAGATACCCAGGCAGAGGGGTCGCAAGCGCCACTGTTCCGGCCAGTGCGGCTGTTTTGGCCCCCGCGCAGCTGCTTTGACCACGCCCTGTTGTGGCGGTTCTCCGAAAAAAAAGCCACTGCTCTGGGAGCCCTCTTAGCTGGCGATCGAGCCCTGAGATGGCAGAGTTGCCCATTCATCTGAAATAGTGAGCCAGGCCAGGAGATTCCTAGGAAAAAAATACGCCAGGAGCCAGCGCCACAGTTTGAGCCGACCCAGAGAGTCGTGGCACGGAAGATCCCGGTGCCTTTTCAACAAGCGACTGAAACGCGGGGTCATTCAACTTAAGAAATAAAAGAAAAGACTCTGAGTCAGGGAGCCAGGTGATCAGGCTCAGTCGGTCCCACCCCCCACCCCCATCAACAACGAAAACAAAAACAGTAATTAGAAACACTCTGGGTTGCTTCCCCCCCTACCCCCCGCCACGCGAGGCTGCGGCGCACGGATCAAGGGATTGAAGAATGTACCGGATTCCACTGGGGAAAGTCCTCCTGAGGAATGCCATCCGGCACACAGATGCTCACAATAAGATTCAGGAGGAATCAGATATGTGGAAAATAAGAGAACTGGAAAAACAGATGGAAGATGCTTACCGGGGGACCAAAAGGAAAATGCTACCCAGCAGTTCAAGCCGGATGCGCAGTGACGGTTTTGATGAAGAAAGTCAAAGAGACTATTGGAGGCCAAAGAATGAAATTTCTGGGACACTGGAAGATGACTTTCTTAAGGCTAAATCCTGGAACAAGAAGTTATATGATTATGAAGCTAACATGCCAGACAGATGGGGTCACAGTGGTTATAAAGAGTTATACCCTGAAGAATTTGAAACAGACAGTAGTGATCAGCAAGATATTACCAATGGGAAAAAAACATCTCCCCAGGTAAAATCATCTACCCATGAATCCCGCAAACACAAGAAGTCAAAGAAATCCCACAAAAAAAAGCAGAAAAAAAGGTCACATAAAAAAACAGAAGAAAAGCAAAAAGGAAGCCATGGATATAACAGCAGATTCCTCAAGCGAGCTCTCAGAAGAAACTGGGGCTTCCAGTACAAGGCAAAAGAAACAACCGCATAAGCTCAAGAAAAAATCCAGGAAAAAGTCTCTCAAAAAACCTGCTTTATTCTTAGAGGCAGAAAGTAACACTTCCCATTCAGATGATTCAGCATCCAGCAGTTCTGAGGAAAGTGAGGAAAGAGACACTAAGAAAACCAAAAGGAAAAAGAGAGAGAAAAAAGTCCATACCCCTGTAGCCAACAATGAAATACAAGAGAGGACAAACAAACGCACAAATTGGAAAGTGGCTACAGATGAAAGGTCTGCTGAGAGCTCAGAGGATGACTAAATGGGAAACATTTTTGTTTTCCACATGACTGTGGATATTTACAGTTCTTACTCCTTGTGGTTTTGCAAGTGACTCTTGTTCAGCACTGGGGCCAGAGGTCGGAGCTATCTTGTGCCATCTATATGTTCCAAGAGACTTCTTGTCTTCTATTTTGGCGTTAAGCTTGATCCCCTTTTCTTGTTAAAAGGGAATCTGGTATTTTCTTATGAAGGTTTCTCGAAAAGATTATTTTTTGCAGTTAATTAAATTTAGTATAGAGCACATATACAGCAAATTAAAGGACCCAGAAAGCTGGATCCAGTGGTAACCTGGGTACACCAATCGGAATATTGAATTTGGGAAAGTCAAGGGCTGGGATCAAGAGGTGGATTGGAACTAATGCTGTGTAGGATGGTATGACAAGGCAACACTATATTGCTCTTTGTTTATATAGCAGGTATCACAACTGACTTGTCTTTAGCCTTGGTGCTTTGATCCTTCTGTATTTTGACCCTACAGGTATGGTCCAGTTTACTTAATCGGGAAATGGGCCTAAGAACAAACATTTTCTTTTCATGGTAACATCCATAGACAACTTATTAGAAGGGACTAGTTTCCTCAAATTTCCCTGCTGGACAGGGCCTACAGCTGTACTTAGTATACCCCTAAACATTGTAATTGGATAGTAAATGGTTTTCTAGCTCCAAAAAAAGAAAAAAAAGAAAAAAAGAAATACTCTGGGTTGAGAGTTTCACAGCAAGCACAGCTGAACCAGGGATGGTCCGGCTCAGTGGGGGAGGGGCATCCGCCATTACTGGGACTCTCCACCGCTACAGACGCAGGCCGCTGTCGCCGAGGCAACCCGCCACAACAGAGAGAAACCGCCATAACAGAGTCGGAGCCACCATTGCAGAGACAGTTCTAACTACACCCATATAAACAGGACTGCAGGGAAGAGCACAGGGCAGCTGGGTGGAGCCCACAGCAGCTCAGCAGAGCCTCTGCAGGTAGACAGTGGACAGGTGGGCTGCTAGCTGGGTGGGGCTGAGGACTTAAGCCCCAATACAAGATAGACCATCTCCTCAAGTAGCTCCCTGACCCCCATAGATCCAAAGACTCACCTCATAAAGGAGAGAACGGACTGACAGTTGGCAAGCATCCTTCTGGGACAAAGACAGCAGAAGAGGAAACTGGTAGCAACCCTTACTGTTCTGCAGCTGCTGCAAGTGATCCCCAGGCAAGCAGGGCCTGGAGAGGAACTCAGCAGTCCTACAGCAGAGGGGCCAGACTGTTAGAAGGAAAGCTTAAAAAAAAAAAAAAAAAAAAAAAGGAAGAAACTTCAGCATCCACAAACTAGAAGCTCACTCAGAGACACAATCTGAAAGACAGTAACTACAAAGACAACAGGTGGATAAACCCACAAAAATGGGAAGAAACCAGTGCAGAAAGGATGAAAACTCCCGAAACCAGAACACCTCTCCTCCTAAAAGGGATCACAACTCCTCACCAGCAACAGAACCAGACCGGATGTAGAAGGACGGTGATGAAATGACAGAATCAGACTTCAGAAGGCGGGTAGTAAGAAACTACAGTGAGCTAAAAGAACATGTTCTAACCGAACGCAAAGAAACTAGGAACCTGGAAAAAAGATTGGACGAAATGCTAATGAGAATGGACAGCATAGAGAGGAATATAAGTGAATTGATGGAGCTGAAAAATACAAGACGAGAACTTCGTGAAGCATGCACAAGCTTCAACAGCCGAATTGACCAAGCAGAAGAAAGGATATCAGAGGTCAAAGATCAACTCAATGAAATAAAAAGAGAAGGAAAGAACAGAGAAAAAAGCACAAAAAGGAATGAACGAAATCTTCAAGAAATGTGGGACTATGTGAAAAGACCTAATCTACGTTTGATAGGTGTACCTGAATGTGATGAAGAGAATGAATTCAAGCTAGAAAATACTCTACAGGATATTATCCAGGAAAACTTCCCCAACCTAGCAAGGCAGGCCAATATTCAAATCCAGGAAATACAGAGAACACGACAAAGATATTCCTCAAGAAGAGCAACCCCAAGGCACATAATCGTCAGATTCACCAGGGTTGAAATGAAAGAGAAAATGCTAAGGGCAGCCAGAGAGAAAGGTCGGGTTACCCACAAAGGGAAGCCCATTAGACTCACAGCAGACCTCTCAGCAGAAACCCTACAAGCCAGAAGAGATTGGGGGCCAATATTCAACATCCTTAAAGAAAAGAACTTTCAACCCAGAATCTCCTATCCAGCCAAACTAAGCTTCATAAGTGAAGGAAAAATAAAATCCTTTGCGAAAAAGCAAGTACTCAGAGATTTCATCACCACCAAACCTGCTCTACAAGAACTCCTGAAAGAGGCTCTACACATATAAAGGAACAACCAGTACCAGCCACTCCAAAAACACACCAAATGGTAAAAGAGCATCAACAGAATCAAGAATCTGCATCAACTAACCAACAAAAGAGCCAGGTAGCATCAAAATGACAGCATCAAATTCACACATAACAATACTATCCCTAAATGTCAATGGACTAAATGCCCCAATCAAAAGACACAGACTGGCAAATTGGATAAAAAGCCAAAACCCATCAGTGTGCTGTATCCAGGAAACCCATCTTACATGCAAGGATACACAAAGGCTCAAAATAAAGGGATGGAGGAAGATCTACCAAGCAAATGGACAGCAAAAAGAAGCAGGAGTTGCCATTCTCATCTCTGATAAAATAGACTTTAAAGCAACAAAGATCAAAAGAGACAAAGAAGGACATTACATAATGGTAGAAGGATCACTGCAACAAGAAGAGCTAACGATCCTAAATATATACGCACCCAATACAGGAGCACCCAGATACATAAGGCAAGTTCTTAATGACTTACAAAGAGACTTAGACTCACACACAATAATAGTGGGAGACTTTAACACCCCATTGTCAATATTAGACAGATCAACCAGACAGAAAATCAACAAGGATATCCAGGACCTGAACTCAGACCTGGAACAAGCAAACCTAATAGACATTTACAGAACTCTCCACCCCAAATCCACAGAATATACACTCTTCTCAGCACCACATCACACCTACTCTAAAATTGACCACATAATTTGCAATAAATCACTCTTCAGCATTGCAAAAGAATGGAAATCATAAGAAACAGTCTCCCAGACCACAGTGCAATCGAGCTAGAACTCAGAATGCAGAAACTAACTCAGAACCACACAGCTTCATGGAAACTGAACAACTTGCTCTTGAATGTTGACTGGATAAACAATGAAATGAAGGCAGAAATAAAGATGTTCTTCGAAAACAACGAAAATGAAGACACAACATACCAGAATCTCTGGGACACATTTAAAGCAGTCTCTAGAGGAAAATATATAGCAATGAGTGCCCACATGAGAAGAAAAGAGAGATCTAAAATTGACACCCTATCATCAAAATTGAAAGAGCTAGAGGAGCAAGATCAAAAAACTCAAAACCTAGCAGAAGACAGGAAATAACTAAGATCAGAGCAGAACTGAAGGAAATAGAGACACAAAAAACTCTTCAAAAAATCAATAAATCCAGGAGCTGGTTTTTCGAAAAGATCAACAAAATAGACAGACCACTAGCCAGATTAATAAAAAAGAAAAGAGAGAATAACCAAATTGATGCAATAAAAAATGATAAAGGAGATATCACCACAGATTCCACAGAAACCCAAACCATCATCAGAGATTATTACAAAAAACTCTATGCACATAAACTAGTAAACCTGGAAGAAATGGATAAATTCCTAGACACCTGCATCCTCCCAAGCCTAAACCTGGAAGAAGCCAAAACCCTGAATAGACCAATAAGAAGGTCTGAAGTCGAGGCAGCAATAAAGAGCCTACCACCGAAAAAAAGCCCAGGTCCAGATGGGTTCACAGCTGAATTCTACCAGACATACAAAAAGGAGCTGATACCATTCCTTCTGAAACTATTCCTGACAATCCAAAAAGAGGGAATCCTTCTCAAATCATTTTATGAGACAAACATCATCCTAATACCAAAACCCGGCAGAGACTCAACAAGAAAAGAAAATTTCAGGCCAATATCCATGATGAACATAGATGCAAAAATCTTCAATGAAATACTGGCAAACCGATTGCAACAGCATATCAAAAAGCTCATCCACCATGATTAAGTAGGATTCATCCCGGGGATGCAAGGCTGGTTCAACATACGCAAGTCCATAAACGTAATTCACCACATAAACAGAACCAAAGACAAAAACCAAATGATTATCTCAATTGATGCAGAGAATGCCTTTGACAAAATTCAACAGCCCTTTATGCTAAAAACCCTCAATAAACTAGGTATTGACAGAAAGTATCTCAAAACAATAAAAGCTATTTATGACAAACCAACAGCCAATATCATACTGAATGGGCAAAAACTGGAAGCATTCCCTTTGAAATCTGGCACTAGACAAGGATGCCCTCTCTCACCACTCCTCTTCAATATAGTACTGAAAGTTCTCGCCAGAGCAATCAGGCAAGAAAAAGAAATAAAGGGTATTCAAATTGGAAAGGAGGAAGTCAAATTGTCTCTATTTGCAGATGACATGATTGTATATCTAGAAGACCCCATCGTCTCAGCCCAAAATCTCCTGAAACTGATAAACAACTTCAGTAAAGTCTCAGGATACAAAATCAACGTGCAAAAATCACAAGCATTCCTATACACCAGTAACAGACTTAAAGAGAGCCAAATCAAGAACGAACTGCCATTCACAATTGCTACAAAGAGAATAAAATGCCTAGGAATACAACTAACAAGGAACGTAAAGGACCTCTTCAAGCAGAACTACAAGCCACTGCTCAATGAAATAAGAGAGGACACAAACAGATGGAGAAACATTCCATGTTCATGGTTAGGAAGAATCGACATCGTGAGAATGGCCATACTGTCTAAAGTAATTTACAAATTCAACACTATTCCCATCAAGCTACCAATGACCTTCTTCACAGAACTGGAAAAAAACACCTTAAACTTCATATGGAACCAAAAGAGAGCCCGCATAGCCAAGTCAATTCTAAGCAAAAAGAACAAAGCAGGAGGCATGACACTACAGGACTTCAAACTATACTACAAGGCTACAGTAATCAAAACAGCATGGTACTGGTACCAAAACAGAGATATAGACCAATGGAACAGAACAGAGGCCTCAGAGGAAATACAACATACCCACCACCATCCGATCTTCAACAAACCTGACAAAAACAAGCAATGGGGAAAGGATTCCCTGTTTAAGAAATGGTGTTGGGAAAACTGGCTAGCCATGTGCAGGAAGCAGAAACAGGACCCCTTCCTGACACCTTACACCAAAATTAACTCCAGATGGATTAAAGACTTAAACATCAGACCTAACACCATAAAAATCCTGGAAGAAAATCTAGGCAAAACCATTCAGGACATAGGTGTAGGCAAGGACTTCATGACCAAAATGCCAAAAGCAATGGCAACAAAAGCCAAAATAGACAAATGGGACCTAATCAAACTCCACAGCTTCTGCACGGCAAAAGAAACAGTCAGTAGAGTGGATCGGCAACCAACAGAATGGTAAAAAATTTTTGCAGTCTACCCATCTGACAAGGGGCTGATATCCAGAATTTACAAAAAACTAAAACAGATC